ATAAAAATTCTTTCTCTAAAGAAGTGGAGAATTCCATCCATCTCTATATTAAGTCGGTTTGGAAAGCCACATGAGAATTGGAATTGAGTGTAACGGGGTATAATTACACACTTTAGTATGTTTGTTTGACCAATTAATTACTTAGTTGGTGAGGAATTGGGTGTAATTGGGAGAGAGTAATTACACTTTTCAATTCTCAGGGTAAAGAATTGGGTGTAATTATAAGACAACCTTTTTAATTTCTTTTTTCTTTTAATATTATATTATTTATTTGGGAAACAAAAAAGATAGAAAAGGCAGATCATTTCTAATTTACTCTTTCCCAACGGTGTCTTTGCGATTTCACTACAAGTAAGTTTTTTTTTTCCTTATGTATTTCATATTTTCTTGATTGCTGATTCTCTGTTGAACTTTTTTTATTCTCTTAACTTCACGTTGCCTTGAGTTATAGTATTGTTTGTTAAAAATTTTGTCCTTTCAACTTTAGAAGGGTAAAATTTTGGTAGAAAAATAATTTTAAATAGGGATGTACATAGGTTGGGTTAGTTCGGATTTTACAATTACCAAACCAAAGCAATTGTGTCGGATTATTAAATCTAAAGACCAAACCAAACCAATAAAACTCGGTTTTTTCACTCTCCGTTTTCCTCGGGTTTTCGGGGTTTTTTTTCCGGTAAAATCTTCGTAGAACAAAACATATAAATTATGCTCAAAATATTTCTTTAGTCCTAGTAAGATACAACTATATAAAGTATTTTTTAAGAAAAATAATATAAAATATGAGATATGTCATGGCATTATCCTAAAATATTCAACAATAAAGACAATAAAATTATGTAATATAAATATTGCTAATTAAAAAGCCATAATAAAAATAAACATAATCTAAAAGTAATAAGTCATGCTAAAATAAGTAGATTAATAAGGGAGTATTAAATACATGAACAAACGCTAAAGAAAAAATAAAAATAGGTTATGCATTTTTATCTAAATTATTGCAAAAGAAAAAATAGATATTTAATACATTCCCGTTCGTAGTATTGAATTAAATGTCTTTTGTTAGCATTAGTATTGATTTGATTTTGGTTTGGGCTTTTGTTAGCACTATTTAATTTACTAATGTTAATGACTATAAAACTTATTGGAACATTCAAAAGTTCTAAGTCCAGCCTTGAAATAATATCTCAAAAGATAAAATTATGAAATCTTTTAAGAAATATTTATAAATTACATCACAATAAGTATATTTATATATTAAATATATCTAAAATTTCTATATATGTAATGTCGGGTTGGTTTGGTTTCGGTTTGACTTTCTTTAGTTAAAACCAAACCAAACCAATTATGGTCGGGTTTTTTTTCCAACACCAAACCAAATCAATCCAACACATAGTCGGATTTTTTTCTCGGTTTGACTCGAATTATCGAACTGATATGTTTGTCGGTTTTTTTTGTACACCCCTAATTTTAAATATGGGTAGACCATTTCTACTTCACAACTTATGCATACAAATACATTTTCTTGTCATATTCAGTTTTCAGATTGTGATAGTGTATAATATTAGAAAGAGAAAAAATGGATCATTAGCATAAATATTAATTTGCTAAAAAACAATTCATATTTTACCAATTTTGTTTCTTAATCATTAGCAAAAATATTAACTATGAAGAAAGTATTTTATAAGCTCGTATCTATCCTTTTTATATTCACATGAGTTGGTAAAGAATTTTAATTTTCTATAAAATTTTCATTGTTCTCTTTTAAGTTACAATATTATTTATATGGAAGGTACCAATTATTTTTATGGTATTATGTTTTACATTATAATTATTTAATATATTTTCTTATAAAAGATTATGCATTTTTAATATATAATAATATATAATATTTAATATCTATTATAAATATAAATATTTATCACACTTGTTAAATTATCTACATGTTAATTTGAAAAAATATTTATTTATCTGTGTAATTACACTTGCACAATCAAACACGACACATATAATTACACTGTAATTACATCATAACAAATAAATATGCCGGCTGTGTAATTATTACCATAGTAATTACACCAACCAAGTAATTACACATGGCTTTCCAAACAGAACCTTAATACTTTTACGTTTCGATTTGCATCAATAAATGATTAAATACACTGGAATAACCATGGGTGGCTAGGATTTTCTGCAGTCCAAGTCAAAACAACTCAAAGACATCCAACCACTCGCTACTTAGCTTTGCGTACTGGAAAGAAAAAAAAGAGAGAGAGATTTGTGTTGGAACTAAACTTTAATATGAACACCATTTACTTTTTTCCAAGAACTATCATGTTAAATTATCGAGAAAGTAAATTAAATGCGAAAATGGATCTAAATCCATAAGGAACAATTGAAGTTCTTCAGTACATGTGGTTCAGTAGTTGTTGGTCTTCCAAACTAATTAAGACGTGAGCCGCTCTCTCTAGAGGCGTACGCAGAATTTTTCATAAACGGTGTCAAAATTTAAAAAGGCCCACAAATGAAGAGATCACTTTAATAAAATCATATTTTAGAAAAATACAATTCAAATACATTAGTACAACTCTCCCCGATGAGCTTTCATTTTTTAAATTGTATTCATGATAGACTCGGTACAAATATTACTAAATATTTTTTTTGCTTGTATAAGACAACAAACATTTACTCAATATCATTATCCATTCGAATCCATAAGTCTGTTTTAATCAATTTCATGACCGCTCACTTTGTTCAGTTACTATTAACAAACAAAATCAGAGGAAATGAAGGTTTTTATCAATGGAAGTTAGGGTTCGAGAAGGTTCTTCTGAGAGAGAACTCTAATTAACAGAAAGTGTGAGAATGAGAAATAAGTCGGTCAACCCATTAGAATTGGGCTTCCTCCTTTATATACAATACCCAGAATTAGTCTATTACAATATCAGCCCACTAAGCTAAACAAAAAGAAAAATACTATTCTATTTTCTGAACAAAAACAATGCTATACAGATAAATAAACATTGGGCCTGCAGATGTGTCACGTTCTCCACTTTGGGCCTGAGGCCAAATATGCAGATAGCCCAACACCCCCCTTCAAGTTGAAGGGGGAGAGCACCTTCAACTTGCCCAGGAAAGAATGATGGAGAGCACCAGGTAAAGGTATGGTAAGGACATCAGCAAGCTGTTGAGCAGTGAGTACATGGTGTAGCTGAATCATTCCATCAAGCAACTTAGTCCGAATGAAATGACAATCTACCTCGATGTGCTTAGTACGCTCGTGAAATACTAGATTCTTGGTAATATGAATGGCTGCCAATTTGTCACAAAAAATAGGAATAGGAGATGAAACAGGAACATAAATGTCATGCAATAATCTGGATAACCAAGTCAATTCAGCAACGACTTTGCTCACAACACGATATTCTGCTTCAACTGAAGACAAAGAAATCACTGGTTGCTTCTTAGACTTCCAACCAACAAGACTGTCACCAAGAAAAATACATAAACCAGTGATAGATTTGCGTGTATCTGGGTAGGCAGCCCAATCACTGTCGGAGTAGGCATGTACAGACAATCTTCAGCACGATACAGGCTCTGATACCATGTTAACAAATAAAATCAGAGGAAATGAAGATTTTTATCAATGGAAGTTAGGGTTCGAGAAGGTTCTTCTGAGAGAGAACTCTAATTAATAGAAAGTGTGAGAATGAGAAATAAGTCGGTCAACCTATTAGAATTGGGCTTCCTCCTTTATATACAATACCCGGAATTAGTCTATTACAATATCAGCTCACTAAGCTAAACAAAAAGAAAAATACTATTCTATTTTCTGAACAAAAATAATGCTATACAGATAAATAAATATTGGGTCTGCAGATGTGTCACGTTCTCCACTTTGAGCCTGAGGCCAAATATGCAGATAGCCCAACAGTTACTCCTTTTTGGGTATGAAGTTTGTATATTAGAATTGTTTATTCTTGGAAGTGATATGTGCATAATGGACGCTAGTTCTTCCTAATTTTTTCTAGAAGAATACTAAAAAATTAAGAAAAAAGTTGTTGACATTGCGAGTATTCGAACGTTTGACCCACAAGTAGAAACTGGTTTACTTCACCAACGGGACATCATAAAAAAATCCTTTACGTTTGACTATAACCCTATAATAGATGCACAAGTTTATGTATTTCTAATATAGCACATCATAGTTAAGTTAGAAATTACATTCGAGTATTTACACATAAGAACTCATACGTTGTGAGCTTAAAATATTTGCTATCATAATGTGAAGTACCTCAAAAAAAGCTCGTCCATGAATTAAGTTAATATTGGACCAATACAGCTTTTATTACATTTATCACCCTACCTTAGTTGTTAAAAGGCCTTTCGGATATTTGTCCCCTCATGATCGTCATAGGGACAGGCAAACTAGCAGCCCTATGGTTAGGGGCGGACCTACGATGGAGGGTAGAGGTTCACCGGAACTTGTTGGTTTCAGCGCATATATATATATATATATAGTGAGGACCCTTTAAATATTTTATGCGGCCCCCTAAAATCACAAAATTTGGACAGAGGAATTAGTTTGTAGAAGTGCTTTATTACCTTCACTCTCTTGATGACCCAGATTTGAATCCGGCCTCCTACCACTCATTATCAGGGACTGATATCATTTTTTTTTGTATCCTGTATCAGTTACTAAATGCTTTGGGGACCGGCCAACTTGAATTTGTGCGACATAAGGTCTATTATAGAGAGAAGCCCTTGTTAGATATTTTAGGGCCAAATTCGAGTTCTTTGATTAAATAATGGAGGAATCTTAGTCAAAAATCCATTGCTACATTTAACAAAAAAAATAATATTGAATCTTGTTTTCCTTGACATATTCATGTTGAACAGATTTGACGTGGTGTCCAGGTTTCGTACGAATTCTTCAAATTACACTAACATTTAATTTAGAACTTGACATACATGTATAGGATACTTACACGCATCGGGTAAGTACATATAACTGAGTTGATGTAACATAAGTGAAAGATACAATAGCATGTATCGGTGGTTCTCCAACAAGATTGGTGGCTTTGCTCCCTAGAAACTGCAAATGGGAAAAGCTCCACCTTTTATACTTTTCATTTACATCTAGGAACTACTATTGATTAGATAAATAACCTCTGATTGTGGCACTACTTGGATCTATCTTGAAAATCCTGGAAGCAGATGTTTACATTAAATATGTGATTAAGTGAAGTGATTTTATTATTCTCTTATATTAGAAGTAGCAGTTGGGGTTTTTAACCTATTTGTGTCATCAACATGTCTGGCTATGACATGCTTCTCTGGCGTTTCAACAGACCCCTAGGAAAAGAAAGAGTCATCAAGTTGATAACTTTTATCAAATAATATCTCACAGGATAGTTATTGCAACTTAGTTAGCTTGCACCGTCTCTGAAAGTCTCCTGCTACTTTCTCACTCCTTTGTTCTTATCTTCGAATCTCTGTGGAAAATTGAAATAAGGAAAACTCAGGCTGAAATCACCTGGCGCTGGGTTCTTGGCTGCTACACCCGTGAACTGGTGAGTTTACATTTTCTATAACTTTTTCCTTTCTTTCATTCATAATTTTGCGTTAGTAATTCTGCATAAGGGTCTTATTTTGTACTCAATTTCTTCGTCTGTGTTTTTCCCCCTTTTTGGGTGGAGCTTTGGTATTGTTTCTTATCACTGTCATTTTAGGGCGGAGAAAAATATCAAGATTTCTCATGAGAATCTTTGTCAAGTGTTCTGATCTTAGGGGTTTTGAGATTACTTGCAAATAAGAGAGAATGATTTTTTCTCAATTGGGTTCTCTTTAAAAAAAAGAACTGAAAAGACAATTTCTTTAAAGGGAAGATCAAAATGGTTGTTGAAATTTGTTTTCGCTTCTTCGTTCCAATTTGAGTTTCCTAAATCCATTTTGGGATAATGGGTGCTAGGAATTTTGGTTATTTTATGAAGGTCATTTTGGTAGTTGTAATATTGTAAATTGTCTGTTTTGTTGATTCATAGCTTTGGTAAATTTGATTGTTTATGTTTTTTTATGGTACAGAGTAGGGGTGTTCATAAAAATCTGAAAACCCGAACTAAACCGAAAACCAAATCAAACCGACCAAAAAACCCGATACTTTTTATTTGATTTGGTTTTGGTTTTGAAATTTAAAAACCAATCAAATTTGGTTTGGTTTTGGTTTTAATTAAAAAAACCGAACCAAACCGAATATAGGAATAACTATTTTAAATTTATTATTACACCTATATATATGTATACTTTTGTACAAAGTTTTAAATTTTTTATAGTAAATATTAATCGTTTGCACTTTTAGTACAGTTCTTTACCTTTACATTCTAGTTTAATTGGTAGTTTTCTTTTATTAAGTTTAAGAATCTATTTCATGTTAAAAATAATATATATTTAATTGAGTCCTTAAATTATTCATCACTATTTGATTCAATTATCATCAATATATCTTGGTAAATAATAGATTTTTCAAAGGGCAATTGATTTGATAGTCTTACGTTGAAAATGTGATCGTCGAAATGTGTGTTTGGTAGTGTATGTCTTATATTTAAGAAAAAACCGACAAATAACCAAAAAAACCAAAAAACCGACATAAACCGAATCGATAAAAAACCGACTTAATTGGTTTGGTTTGGTTCAAATATTTGAAAAATCGACTTACTTGGTTTGATTTCTTTTTAGGGAAAAATCGATCCAAACCGAATCATGAACACCCCTAGTACAGAGATAGTTTTTAGAAACTCAGATGTGGTCATATTAGTGAAGTTCGGTGTGCTGATGTAACAAAGTATCAACTACTCTGCTCGTAATTTCTTAATATCAACTCAATGTTGTTTTATGTTTAAGAAAATCTTACCTCATCAATAAAAAAATGTTTCAACTACTCTGCTTATAATATCGTTTTAGTATAGGGTATACATGTCAAAATTGAATCTTGGCCAGTGAAAAAACGAAGAAACTGACAGAAGGTAAGAGAAGTTTGGCTGGGGTTAAATTTATGTGTTCAGAGAAGTTTGAAAAACTGAGTGCAATATTGAGATTGGAGTTATAATACTAATATAAAAAAAAAGAAAGTATTAGTAATATGTTAATTTACCAATAAGAGGAAACTACATATAGAAGCCAGTCAATGCAATGAAGAATTAGTTTGAAGCAGAGAATAAACTATATTGGCCAAGATGAAAGACTTAAAAGACTTTAACTAAAGTGAGGTCATTTTTTGGAGGAAACCACAATTGAATTGTTCTGAGAATATTTATTATTAGTCTATCAAAGAGAATGAAATATGTAGGAAAATAGATTAGTGATAATGAGTTAGAAAACAAACTAAAAATTTATAGTAATAAATTGAGAAATTTAAGACAATTATATCTCTCTATGATAACTTTGGTATTGTGAATTTGGGATATCGTATTCTTATAACAATTTCATAGTTCTGCTGAATTTCTCTTTCGTTGAATGAAGCAAGCTACAATGCAAGAAAACAACAACCATATTACATAACTATAATAACATTTAGTCCATAGTCAATATGTAGAATAATATAAGGAAATTAAATATTTAATTTTAGTTGCTTTGTTCTTTCTCTTTGGTTAATTTGTTTGTTCGGATAAAGATGATGGGTGAAGAATGCTTAATTAGAAATGTTGTTTGGAAAAAATTTAATGTAGTAGAGAAAGAACAAAGCAATGTTATTTTATTCTTCAATTTGCCATAGGTCGTTCCTTCTTCATTGCTCTGAGTGTTGAGCGGGTTGATATGAATAGGGAGTATAGCAAATGTCTTGTAGTACTGTTGATTTGTCCTTTCTGCAGTGTTCTTTCTGCTGATTGAATATGAACTTCTGCAACATATAAACACTATTACATTGTGCTTATTTCTGCTTTTTGTGTTAGCCATATTTTCTTCTCTTGCTCTAATTGTCGACATGCTTGTATTTCTGTTGTTTCATGTAATTACTACTATTTGATTAAAAATTTGTGCTTCTTAGATTTTTTGGTGTGCTCTTGATATGGAAATAGTTACAGTTTACTTTGCACAAAGTGTCTGTTCAGCTCCTGATTTGCATCTTTATTTTGGTAAAGTTCAATTGATTTGAATAGAAACTGTAACAACTATGTTTTAGTATGGTTGTAGACTTGCAGTGTTAATTGTTTCCTGATGATGGATTTTATAATGTTTAACAATTATAGAACTTTTGTACAAATAGATATTTGGGAGCAACAAATTTTAATATTGATGGACTCTGGACAAACAAACAAACGTCCCTATGAAAAGAAATGTCTTGATAGGAATGTTAGACAACGTGAACAATATAAAGTTAGTTAAGATGGACAATGAAAAGAGTGCACTAGCACTACATGAAGTGCTCACAAGTCAAGTGTTACAACGTAGTCACTTTGAGGGAATGGCTTCTACCATCTCTACTGATATAACATCATCAGGACATTTACAATATACTCCTAATATAATGGACTCCTACTATACTTCCAAAACAGGTTAGTATATTAATTCTATATCGTACTATATACAGCATGAGTAACTGTTTCACTATTACCGCAAATATAATTTCTTTGTCTGCATGAATATCTATCTAAGTTCAATACTGTAAACATCTACTGCGCTTATGCTTACTATGTAGAGAGTAAAGTTACATTGCTTCCATCATTTTCTGCTTTCGACAAACGAAATCCTCTTTGCACTTATGACAAAGGCAAGTTGCTGAAAATTGGCATAAGTTTATACTAATATACAAGACATATTAATGTTAATTAAAAATTACTTGTGTGGTAGGTTCAACAACAGTTGTACTTAATGAACAAAATGACACAGCTGAGATAGTGATAACTAAAGGTTTGTATTTGTGTCTTCTTTGAATAATATCATTTTGTGCTTACTGTTTCACTCCTTACAACCTCTAGAACATGTAGGTCGTAGTCGAAATAACAAAACTACTATGAATATTGAGCTACGGTCAGACTACGTACCATTAAAAAAGACTCAAAACTGTAAATTCTGCTCTGCAAAAAGATTTCAATATGAATCTCTTGGATTTTGTTGTGGCACTGGTACAGTTAAGATAATTTCACATCAGATGTCTGCTAAGCTTCATAATCTATACTTCAATAATAATGAAAAATCCCAACACTTTCGAACATACATCAGAACATATAATAATTCGCTTGCATTTACATCACTTGTTGTAAATTATGATACAGACTTAGCGCGAAGGAATCGTGGTATCTATACTTTCAGAGTTCAAAGACGAATGTATCATCTAATAGATGATTTTTATCCTGGAGGGAAAAAACCCAAAAAATATACAGTTGTACTTTTATGACAACAACAATGAGTTAGCAAGTAGAATGGCATACTCTAATAAAGTCAATGACTCTATAGTGAGTGAACTGATGGACATGTTGAAAGTTAACCCATACTCCTTTTTTATCCGATCTTTGATAGATATTCCTGAGCTACCGAACTTCCATATTGGACTCAAATGTGATCCTGGTTTAGATCAGTGAGTATATAATTTGCCAACTTCATCAGAAATTGCTGCAATATGGGTTTAGGACAATGACAATAATATAACTCATGCCCCATATATTCAAATTTATACTCATAGCAACATAACACAAATAGTGAACTATTATTACGGATGTTATGATGCCTTACAATATCCTTTGTTGTTTTCATATGGACAAAATGGCTGGCATTGTGGTATTAAGAAAATTCCTAAAGCAAAAAATATTCGTGAAAGTTATACTCATGAATGTGAACAGTTATCAAGCATACGAAATCTTTGCTCTCTCGATTCATATCTTCAAATTGAAGCTCAAGCTTTAGAAAAAGGAAAGAAAAAAAGAGATATAGTTTTTGCTTGGGAATATTATTGTTATAAATTTCAAATGATAAATGATGATGAAGACGAGTTACTACACACTAGTAAACTATTTAAGCAATATTCAGTTGACGAATACATAAAAATTGAAACCTAAAGATTGGATTTTGCTTCGTTCAATCAAGATTTATTTAGAATGGATATATTGCAAGGACTTCTAGATATTTTAAGACTTGGAGAACGAGATTCTTCTAACATTGGTAAGCAAAAATTCCTTTCAGCTTCTTTTATAGGTGGACCTAGAGATATGCGACAATGATATATGGATGCTATTGCATTAGTACAACATTTTGGGAAACCAGATTTGTTTATAACTATGACTTGTAATTCGACTTGGCCGGAAATAAAAATACATATGTGGACAACTGATGAGGCGCAAAATAGACCTGATTTAATTAGTCGAGTATTCAGGGCTAAAGTTGAAGAACTGAAAACTGATATAAGCCAGAGAAATATCTTTGGAAAAGTTGCTGCTTATATGTATACTGTTGAATTCCAAAAACGAGGTTTACCACATGCTTATTTCCTTATAATATTAGCTAATGAATATAAGTTATTGACATCAGAGGCTTACGGTGGAATTATTAGTGCTGAACTACCAGATGCTAATTTGGATAAAAAATTACGTTCGCTTATTCTTAAACATATGATGCACAGTCCATGCGGTAATCTGAATCCAACAAATTCCTGTATGAAAAAATGGTCTTTGCAAGTTTAATTATCCAAAAAAAAAAATTGCTGAACATACATCAAAAGGAAGTGATTCTTATCCCATCTATAAAAGACGAAACACAGGAAAGGTTGTGAAAGTACGGGAGCAATATTTAGATAACTCTTGGGTTGTTCCATAAAATCCTTTTTTACTTGGTAAATTCAACTGTCATATGAATGTTGAAGTTTGCTCTGATATAAAGGTTGTTAAATATCTTTACAAATATATTTATAAAGGACATGACAAAATTGCATTTTATGTACATGATAATGAATCACACAAAGAAATAGATGAAATAAAAGAGTATCAATCTGCTAGATGGGTATCACCACCTAAAGCTACATGGAGTTTATTTGGTTTCTCTATTAGTGAGATGTATCCAAGCATTTATCACCTTTAGCTACATCTTAAAGGGCAACAATTTGTTTCTTTTAAAGGCAATACAGATATAAACACAATCATTAATAATCCTATGATTAATAAAACAATCCTGACAGAATTTTTCCAGATGTACAGAATTAACAAAGATGCCATAAAGCTTAACTTATTATACAAAGAATTTCGTGAACATTTTGTATGGTCAACTACAGACAAAACATGGACACGGCTACAACAACGTTGTGCTGTTGGCCGTATCGTAACGTGTCACTCAACTGAAGGAGAATGATATTATCTGAGACTACTATTGCTAAATGTGAGGGGACCAAATCATATAAAGATCTTCGAACTATAAATGGGGAACATTATAATACTTTTAGAGAATCCGTAGAAAAATGGGGACTATTACACTGTGATAACAGTTTAATTGATTGCATGTCAGAGGCAGCAGATTACCAAATGCCATATAGTTTAAGACATTTATTTACATTATTAGTATATTGTAATCCAGCCAATCCAAAAGAAATATGGAAACAATTTGAAGAATCAATATCTGAAGATTTCAGAGTGTTACATAATGTTGGAACGAAAGATATTCAGTATCAAGTTTTAAATCATATTAATGATATTTTACACTCTATGGGTCATAATGTAAATGAATAAGAGCTTATCCCAGAAATAGTTCAAGCATCTATATTGGAAAAAGGAGCAAAGGGGGTATTCTTTGAAAGAACCATCACAGTTAGTGAAGAGGATATACTGTTACACAAAAAATTGAACGCAAAACAATTGCAAGCATACAATGTGATTATTGACCGAATATTTTCCAAGAAACCAGGAGTTTTTTTTATTAATGGTCCAGGAGGAACTGAAAAAACTTTCTTATATCGTGCCTTATTAGCGACCGTACGTAGTAAAGGATATATAGCTCTAGCAATTGCTACTTCTGGCGTTGCCGCTTCAATTCTTCCAGGTGGGCGAACTGCACATTCACATTTTAAAATATCTATAGACATTGATAAAAAATTTCAGCTGTAATATCAACAAACAAAGCTCAACTACAGGTCTGATTCGTGATGCAAAATTAATTGTATGGGATGAAGTGTCTATGGCTAAAAAAAGAATGTTTGATGTATTTGACTTGCTCTTAAAAAATCTTATGGATACAAATATGCTATTTGGGGAAAAGTTATCGTTTTTGGAGGTGACTTTAGACAAACTCTTCTAGTTGTTAGAAATGGGAAAAAAGAAGATTTTATTAATGAAAGTTTACTATATTCTACCATTTGAGACGAACTTGAAAAATTGCAACTATCTGAGAATATGAGGGCAAAAACAGATCCTGCTTTTTGTGATTACTTGATGAGAATTGAAAATGGGCAAGAAAGGGTAAACTCTAATAACAAAATTTAACTTCTAGATTCTTTAGTTATTCTTTTTACAACTGAAAAAGAATATCTAGATCACTTATTCGCTATGACATTCTCAAATGCACAAGCATGCTCCTCTAATTTTTGTTCGGCAGATTCTCACGTTATCCTAACGACAAGAATGATTTTGTGAATGAAATCAATGATATTCTAATAGCAAAATTTCCAGAAAAACCAACTACATTTGTTGCTATTGACGAAACAGTTGAACCTAATGATCAAAGTTAATTTGAAGACCTATTACACACTTTAAATCCTGTTGGTTTACCTCTTTATAAATTAACTTTGAAGGAGAACTGTCCCATTATATTATTGCGTAACTTGAATCCGTATGAAGATTTATGCAATGGTACACGATTGATATGCTGCAATATTAAGACACATGTTATTAGTGCTAAGATCGCGACAGGTGATTTTAAAAATAATCATGTATTTATCCCAAGAATACCATTATTATCGTCGCAAGATGAAAGATTACCAGTTCAATTTAAAAGAACACAGTTCCTAGTAAGATTATGCTACGTTATGACTATAAATAAAGCGCAAGGTCAGACTCTAGACTTCGTTGGAATATATTTGCGAGAACCTGTTTTTTCCCACGGTCAACTTTATGTCGCCTTATCGAGAGCAAAGAGTTCAAATTGCGTCAAAGTGTTGGTCCATCCGTCTACACTAGCCAACCGTGATAACCATTCTACATATAATATTGTTTACGACGAAATTATCCAAAGAGCGTCCTTATAAGTCTTCTTGTTATCCTAAAATAGAATAATTTTTCTGTTTTATTCTGTCCTTCTACTCACGTACACTTTGTTTTACTTTTTAAATGCTTATTGATACTCATATCTACTTTTTCCCCCGGTTAGGCGATAAGGTTGTCACTGGACCTTTTGCTTACCTCAACCTGCAAAACAAGGTCAGTAATAGTTCACCATCATAGTTTAATATTAATTCTTATAAGATCTTATTTGATCAAATATAATTGATTATCTACTTATTTCCCCAGTTGCTTATATCTTGTTATTTCAACATTTTCTTAAAGTTACTTGGAATCCTGTATCACGCTTGGTCATTTACTTATTCAGTTCAAACTTAATTTTTGAAAGTCAAAAGATATTATCGTCGTGTCTGAAATCAATCCAACATATTTACTAATCAGCTACAGAATTATTTAAGTTTGCATCAATGTTTTCTATTTTGGTTACTTGTGGTGGACATAATTATAAAAACAGAAAGACGCGAATGCTCATTTGCAACTGAGGTAAAAGTTATGCAACTAAGGTTAAGTTTATAAACCATGTAAGATTACTGCTTAATGAATTCAAAATAGTATCTGATTTGGATTTTGGAGTTAAATCTGACAACTATACTTTTCTTTCGTTTGCTTGATAATATTTTTAAATATTTTCATGCTTATAATTGACCCATTAGCTGGTCAAGCTTTTAGACAAGCTTTTCTATTATATTTTTTTCGAAAACCACTTTAGCCGTGGAATGGGGTTTCCTGTAGAGACATGTGCATTATTAGTATCCGATGTGGAAAACGGTTTTTGTTTCCAGTAGCTATTAATTATCCCTAAATATTTTGTTAGTGAAATCTGACTTGTGCAATATCCTTTGGAACTCAGTTATTCTGATTGATAATAGTGGTCTTCACATTTCATTTGATATATTGGAAATAAGGGAATTATAGTTGTTGCTGAGAACTGTAAGAAAATTTACAGATCTTAGCCTTTGGTTTTGTGATAAGTATGTGACTTTTTCTTTTTCAAATAATGTTGCCTTAATTTTAGTTTGTGTCTCAACCAAGTGTTTTGCTGATAAGATTGGGGACAACCTCTCCATTGCTTGCATTACTTTCTTCTTCAATTGTCATATAAATTCATCCTTGAATGCTCTTTGAAATAAACATTTATCCTTTTGGACATGATTATGTTTGTATTGCTGCCTTTGCTGCTGCAAGTGGTTGCTTGTTTCAATGAAGTTTGTCTAGGCACAATTTTCATCTTCTTTTAACACCTTCCTAGCTGAGTCTCTTGGAAATGTTCCACATTGCGACGTTCGACAAATAATTATATTTATTTAGTCCTTGCCTTCACAACTTCTCTTTCGTTAATATTCACCAGTTATATTCTTTTACTGCATATAGTTTAAACTTTTTTGTTGATCAAGTGCTCACTACTTAGCTACCTGCTTACTGATATTTTCGCTCAAATAAGTCATTAATCTCTATTTGATTACCAACGTAGGGAATAAAGCACTTGTGGCTATTACTGAAGGTTGCTCTCTGCATCATTTCAATGTAAGTGGCTCCCACCAAATTGGGGATGCTAAAATAATAGCCATAGCAACAGAATGCCCTGAACTTAGTTTACTTGGATGTGAGTGTTCTCCAAGTATGTCCACTTATACTTGTTCCATAGAGTGGAATAAATAATGGATATAATGCAAAGACTGTGCGTGTATGTTTAACATGTTTACGTACATTTGTCAACTACATAAATTGATTAACGTTTCTAAATTACATGATACTTCGGTATATTCATACTGCAATCTGTTGGGGTAGACACTATAACCTTGGTTGCAGCTCACTATGGAGATGAAAATTCTTGAGATTTAAATTACCTAGAACTTCATGTTGTTGGTCATTTGAGATTTTATTGTATATGCAAACTGGGACTTTGTCGGGATAAAAGGAATCAGTTGGGGATAGGCATAATCATTTGTATGGAGATTCTTGTCACTTATTTTCCTCTTGATATTCTTAAATTTATCATCTCTCATTAGGCTTGCCTTCACAACTACCAAGCATTAGAGAAGTTGACAGCCATGCGGTGCAGTTGCCAGAAATGTGTTATATTTTGACAAAACTTCTGATAAATTTTTTATTGTAACAAGGATCATATTACAAGGATACGCGTGTGTCACGCCCTTACCGGCCAAAACCACTACGATATCGAACTATAAATAAGTAATTTGAGTGATAATCAACATCTTTTTCCTGCTGAAATTCCGTCTCCACTTCACCTCGACAAACGATGATCGCCATATAGGGTCAAATCTTGTGTTGTCTTGTGTTGACGGACAAACATTAGAATAAGAAAATATTAGTGCAGTACCAATAGTTGTTTATATAGTTAAAATTATTGTATTTATTGGTTCATATATAGTTTCTGTTATGTAATATTATATGTTTGTACTTTGCTTAAGATATCGAATAAAGTGGGACCAGAACTTTTTGGTTCTTAATTACATGATCTGAATAATTTAGGAGTAGAATTTTTTCCTTGTTAATTACATTATAACCTTTTATCATTACATGTCTTGTTATTTTATTTTCTTATTCTATTCAAGGTATGGGGTATATGTCCGGCTTGTTCCCTTCATATGTGTAGGATAAAATGGTCAAGACAACCATGGTTGTGGTATGCTTTTTCAAGCTAAGGGTGTGCTGCTGGCAAAGCCCACTTTTGTCTTATGAGTGTTTTTGGCATTCATGTAGATTAACTGTGACAAGAGCACATTCTCAAACAATTCTTCCATGTTTCGGCGGTAGCTGTTCTGGCTTGGGATCATCTTGAAAAGATGTTCTATTTCCCGCAGCTCTAGAATTGGATTTGCCAGAGATTGAACCACTACGTGCAAATCTTTTGCGATCGTTCTTATATTTATTATTATAACCATCTTTTTTCTTTCTTCCATTATATTTTGAAGCTCTTGAACTAAAAGAGATTAAAGAGAAAAATACAAAATAGGATCTTTAAGTGCAGAATGTCACGACCCGGATTTCTCACCCTCAAAAGCCGTAATGGCGCCTATTAGTGAAAGCTAGGCAAGCCAAATTATTCTAATTACTTAACCTTTTTCCAGTTTTAAACCATTATCAGTGATAAGTAGATATCATGAAAATAGCGAAAATAATTAAGCGGAAGACAAAATCTAATAATTTATCTTAATACAAAACTGCGGAAGTCTAAATACAACTCTACCTAGAATTTGATGTTACATCTTCACAGACGGTCTAAGAGTACTACATACAAAGTTTGAAAGATAAAATATACACTGTTTCTGAAATTAGTAAAGGAAACAGGATAAAGAAAAAGATAGGAGGTGACGCCAAGGCCCGCGGACATCTGCAGGACTACCTCGTGTCGCCTGTGTGGGCTGAAGACAACACCCTCACTGTGGTCCAAGCACTCCGGTATCAGTATCTGCACACAGTGCAGAGTGGAGTATTAGCATAACCGACCCCATGTGCTGGTAAGTGCCTAGCCTAACCTCGGCGAAGTAGTGACGAGGCTAGGACCAGACTACTAAATAAACTTGTGCAATATAGTGTACAAAAATAATATAAAGCAGATAACAATAATGGAAATAATGATCAACCAGTGATATAAATAGCAGGTAACAAGAACACCATAAATGTTTCTCAACAAATAATAGATACAAGTGCAAGCAATTTATCAAGTCCTTCAAATATAAATCTTTCGCCAATAAATTCTTCAAGTAATAATCTCTAAGATAATATGCTTTTCAATGAATATATTTCGAATATATTTCCTTTAAATAAATATTTTTCAAATAAGCATCTTTCGAATATAATTCTTTCGAGTAAAGGTCATTTTGTGACGCCTCATTCACTTAACATAAAGTAGAGTACAACTTCCAACCCAATTAGGAAATCAACAAAAAAAGATGAAGTTATTTTTAGAAATCATTTGATAAAGAAGATACTCTTTTCAATTAAGGTACAATATCGAATGAATCATTACCTTTAATACGAGAAATCAATAAATCAAACATAGTAGAAATTCCTTTTTAGGTAAAGTACAACCTCAAACGGTTTAAGGAAAATTTAGTTGAGAAATCAATTGAGTTAAAGATGTAACAATTGTTGAAATTTGGAGTATTGAACATAAAAAAGGGTAAAAACAGAATATCAAGAGAATTATAAAGGAATCAAAATCCAACCACTAACAAGAATAAGGAAAACAAAGGCAGATTTCACTTTATTTTCACATCTTGTTGCAGGCGTGCAACCCGATCCCATTTCCTGTATCTCGTGGCAGGCGTGCCACCCGCTCCCATTTCATGTAGCTCATGGTAGGCATACCACCAGCTCCCATTTTATTATATCTTGTGGTAGGCGTACCACCCATTCCCATTTCATTATATTTTGTGGTAGGCGTATCACCCGCTCCCATTTCATTATATCTTGTGGTAGGCGTACCACCCGCTCCCATTTCATTATATCTTGTGGTAGGCGTACCACCCGCTCCCATTTCATTATATGTTAAGGTAGGCGTACCACCCGCTCCCATTTCATTATATCTTATGGTAGGCATACCACTCGCTCCCATTTCATTATATCTTGTGGTAGGCATACCACCCGCTCCCAGTTACAAGCCAACAAT